AGATTCAGAACAAAAAAATGTACCCATGGGGTCAACTATGCGCTATAAAACAAAGTGACCTGAAAGGATCACTTACAGGCTTTGGCCATTATGCTGTATGTGAAGAGGCTTCGGCAGTCTTCAAATTAAGTACGTGGTAATGTAAATGGAAAGAGTTGTTTTAAAAAAGTATACTTAAAAATGCCATGTTTCATTTAAATGATAGGAGAAGGGGCACCCTAACATTTAAAGACGACCAGGGACGGTCTAGGTGGGCAAGGGAGGTGTAAGGTATGATTGCCTAAGCAAAGGTGATCTTTTGGGCGAGCATTATGTGTTAATGGATTTTCCCAACCATTACACTTTAATTATTATTTATTGCTATTTCCTGTATCACCTCCCATTCACATGCTTATGTTTATATATTGTTTATTGCTTCACCGATAAATCAGTTCCCAGTTAGTCAGTCTTTAATATATGTGCCCCAAAGAGGAAGCACACCGGTGTTGCTTGGTAAAGGCTTAGCTAGGGTCTGGCCAACCCAATAGCTTTCCTTAGGGAATATAATGGTAATAGTGCCTAGGTATATTTGACAGAATGGACCCAGCATGATTCCACTCAACTTTTTTAGCATCTAGAAACATCAAAAAACATTTCTAAAATGGTGGAGAAAATTGAATTATGCCAAGTTCCTGGAGATATTATTTTAAGTGAAAGAGCAGAAAATATTGAAGTTAAAGTTGTAAACAATTTTGAATGTAAAAAATATCAACTTTCCAATAAATACAATCCAAAATTGAAGTTTATTATTTCGAATGAAGAAGACTTTTTTAGAGATTGTACTTATGTTGTAATTAAGAGAATTAATTGATAAATTTGTTTAAATATATTGCCCTGCTTTTGTTCGTTTAAATATTTCTGTGTTATAAAATAAACTTTTTTTAAATTTTTCTTCCAAAAAATAGCAAAACTATGAGAAAATAAAAAATCCGCATAATCTTCAAAAGACCACAAAAATCCGCAAATCCGCATTTTTAAAAATAATCCTCAACGACTTATCAGAAAACTACAAAATGAGAAAAAATCCGTATACCAGGGGGTCAAAAATAATAAAAAAAATCAAAAATAAACCCAAATAATTCGAGTAAACAAGAATAATTTATTTTAAACAGATTTCGTTTATTTTTTGAGGTTCGGGCGATAATTTTGAGTTTTAAAAGGACAATGAGCCTTATTTGAGGCTTACCTTACCAAGGCTTACCTTACCCCCTCAATGAGCCTTATTTCTTACATTTTTTTCAAAAAAGTCAATTCTTAGTGGTTTATATATTTAGATTCGGTGGCAATATTTTAATTCAGATATATACATATCCTCTTATCTTTCCACAAAATTATAGCACAACATTGATTTTTCGAGTTTCTAACATTAAGAATAATCCGCAAAATTTTGTAGGGATATCAGGGATATCAGCAGATTTGGAGGCATATCGTGGAAATCGATATCATTCGAAATCCACGTATCCCCGTTAATCCCGCCAAATCCCCACATTATCCTCTTTAATCCCTCCATATTAAGAATTATTTAATTTTTCGGGCAATTCATTAATCCAATGTTTTTGCTTTCTATTTTAAATACATTGATTACCCTTTCAAAACATTTTTTAATTTCTCTTTAAATTTATTTAAAATATTCCCTCAACAAATAAATTAATTTGTTTCCTTTTTTTCTCAACGTATATTCATAAAAAACTTGTTGAAGGCAAAAATCTTCAATATATAAATAGAATATTAATTTTAAATATTTAAAATTCTCCATTAAATTTTAATTTAGTTTCCTTTATTTCTTTGCTCCCAAAATTATTTTTAGCGCAAATGTTTCAGCGATATTTCAAATGTACAAATTTTAATTTTAAAAGTTATTGTTTCGGAGTCAACCCAGAAGAGCCTAAAGACTTGTTGACCATAAAGCTCAACAATCTTTTGAAAGGAAATATCAATGGATTTGGAGGGATTAAGAAGATGCCGTTTGATTTGGCATGATAAAAAGGGATAGATATCTCTACTCTTCCAGAGTTGTGGTACACACTCACAATACTTCACCATTGGTTTTAAAATAAAGAACTGGGTACTTATCTCATAGAGCTGGGTATTTATTCCCCTTAATCCCTCTAAATCCCACGATATTTCCTTTCAAAAGTTGCAGGTCTTTTGCCCAACAGGTTCATTTTTCCTATTCCCGTATTCATTATTCCCCGTATTTTTATGTCTAGAATCAAAAATTTTCTTTAAAATCGATCCTTTTTGCATTTTTTTTCCAAGTTTCTGACAAAGTGAAAAATTGCTTTATTGCCCAAAAACAATGTAAAAGCTTTAATTAATTTTCAGAAAACAAATTTAAAATAACTATGAGAACACCGAAACAATTAGAGGAATGGGCATTTTCTTCAAATAATTCTAATAATAATGAATCACTTAGAGAAGACTTTGAAAAATTTACAGAAAAAAGTAGTGATTCGGAGACATCTAGTGTTGATGAATTGCCCACTACTTGTCATTCTTGTTGTTCATCAAAAAAGATAATTAAAAGTTTAAAACAACGTGTGGAGAAATTAGAGGTTAAACAAATTATTTTTTGATCTCACTTGTACTTCACCTCGTTTCTATGACACTTCTGCAAATTAGGGATCGGAACGTGACGAGATCTCGTTCAAAAAAGTCCGGTCCTCCTACAGCTAGCCTTTGCCAAGATGCGATATAATAGTTAGAGATCCTCCCCGTACTTCTACTACACTTTAATGTCCAATTTTTTCTGACAAAGGTGTCGTACAAGTGAAAGACGATTGAATTAAAAAAATTTTTTTGTTTTAGTTGCAATTGAAAAATACAAATTTAACTTTGGAAAATAATAATTTAAAAATTGATAATGCAAGTTTTTTTGTTTCTTGTCTAAGAGATATTTTTTGAATATTAATTCTAGAAAATACAAAAAGTAAATTCCGAACATGAAAATGAAATTAATATTTTAAAACAAAATATTCAACAATTAGTTGAAGAAAATAATGTCAATTTAAAGCAAAAAGATGAAAAAATTAATTCTTTGGAAGAACAAATTAAAAAAGTAATTAATTAATTAAATTAGTTTTTAATTAAAAATAAAGAAAATTTAAATATAAAATATACATATCTGGACCGAACCCAAAGGATTTCCGAATTTTTCAAAATCCTTTTTTTATTAATTTTACGTTAAAATTTTAAATAATTTCAAGAAGCAACGAGATTATATGTATATAATTAACTCATTTAGAAGGGAGATATTAATAGATTTGGAGTGAACCAGATTAAATCCGGTATGAAAAATTTGCTGGATTCCGGATTTGTAACTTAGGCCGGACCAGATCCGGCCTGATCTTTCTTGATTAGGCTGGTCCAGAAAAATACGGAAATCACAAGAACCCTGGATTTGGAATCCGGACCGGAAAAATCAAGCCTGATCCGGAATGCCCGGGTCATTAGTAAATACATTTTAATTTTGAGGGTTTATTTACAGGTGATGGTCAAATATTTTTTGTTAAATTTTAAATAAAAAATATTTTTTTAACTAAATTTATTTATTTAAAAATAGACAAATGATCTATTTGATAAAAAGATTGGTGATTTGATTAAATTAAATAATTTGAATTGTATGTATGCTGTTAGTTTATAGAATTTTGAATAAAAATTATAAAATAATTTTTAAAAGGATTTTGTTCCAATTAAAAATAAATGGAGTAAAATTGTTAACATTTGTTGCTTAAATAATTGTATAAACACGAACAATCCTATTGGAAATTGTATTAAAGGAAACGGATTTGGGAATTTAATTAGTGATGAAAATATAAAATATTTGGGCAAAAATGGAGGTAAATTAATTGAAAGGTAAAATTGAAGTTTGTATACCCACACCATACATTTTCCTTCCTCAAAGTATCAAAAATTGTCAGTGTTATCGGTTCAGAATTGTATAGAAGAAGCGATGATTTTTCGATTCGGTTCCGGATATCCAGAAATTTTCCAAGAACTGACATCCCTACATACTTATCATTAGGGGTGCCAATTATATGGAAATCCATATTTTTTTCCTGAATTCCTATGACTGTGAAATGCACAAAAAACATGTTTTTGGCATGTTTTAGGGTTTCTAGAATGGTCTTTAAAATCCATATTTTCCATATTTTGTCCATATTTAGCCTTTATATACATATTTTATATCAATATTTCTACTTTTTTGAATATTTTGGTCCATATTTGTTCAATTTTTGGTAAATTTTAGTAAAAATTGGCAAAAATTTTAAAAATTTTGGAAATTTTTGGTCAAAAATTTTTTCGAAAATTTTTCGGAAAAATTTATTTTCAAAAAAATTTTAACTCAAATTTTAAATCCATTAAATTTTCTAGAATGCTCTTAAAATGCAAAGTTATAGGCAAAATTATCGTTTTCTACTTAAAATACTGATTTTTAAAATATCTTTTCACTATTTTTTGATCCATATTTCAGTATTTTATATCCATATTTAGTGTTTATTTCCATATTTTATGGCCATATTTTTCGATTTTATATCCATATAATTGGCACCCCTACTTATCATCAATTTATTATGTAGTATATTTGCCTAAACGATAAGCCCTCACATTTATACACACACACACATTTATAACAAGTTTGTTCTCCGTGATTTTATATGTCAAATTTATTATTTACCATAGGGAAATAGAGTGGAGTGGAGTCAAAGTCGAAGGAAGAAGGAGTCTGACCATTTTAATACTTTGAGGAAATAAAAAGAAAGGGGGTATCGAAACCTCAATTTTACTTATTGAAATTTCATTTTTAACTTTTATTTAAATATTTTCTAGGTTTAAATAACTCTGTTTTTGTTGATGCAGAAAAACCATACAACAAACCACAAATATGCTTTAATTATTCTTTATATTATTTTGAAATTAAATGTATATTCGAAAATGGGTTGGATTGTGGAGAAAATGGGATGAGTATTGGTCTAGAAAATTTGAAGTCAAAAAGTTTTATTAGATATTCTCCAAAGGGGGCTACAATTTTAACCGAGAGATTCGAATTATTTAAACTTTCAACGACAACTTGGAATAATAATGAAATTTTTGGGTGTGGATTAGTTTATCCTCCAAATAATAAAATGGGTGAAGAAGAACATCCTTATGTCTTTTTTACACAAAATGGAAAACAAATTGGTAAATAATTAAATAAAAAATATTTTTAAAAATTTATTTTTTAGGTAAAGGCATATTATTAATTCACAATTTCGACGTATATAAACCTTATGTTGATCTAAAATGTTGTTCAATTGAGACTAATTTTGGAAATGATTTGGAGACTAAACCGTTTAAATATGATATTTCAACCCATTTAATTATTAAAGAATTTTATTGAAAATTTTGTTTTTGATTTTAAATTTACTCTTTTTAATTTACATAATTTCGATATCAATTAAAATAATCAATTTTAGGTTATAAATATTTTTTGAATTTATTACATAATTGCTTAATATGTATGTACATAATGATAGAGATCGGACCAACCAAATATTTGAAATCGAAAAATCAAATATTTGATCAAATATCATGTAATTATCACTCATAGCTTCTCAGTAGAGAAGCTATGAGTGAGTACCAACGGAATTACAAGGCCTACTTTTATGCCGTAGACAAAAATTTTGAGAATTTAGGAAGGTCTTAAGCGAAGGATTACACTTCGCTCATCATCTCCCATCACTTTGATCATTGACCAAAATTATGAATAAAACACACTATCCAGTCAACCAACCTCATTATTAAGAAATGGAAGAATTTAAGAAAAAGAAAAGTGCACGCAGAGGGTCATTTTTCGTTACAACCCTTTACTTTGATAGTCATATAAAACCTCACTCAACTCGAAATATTGAATAAATAAAGCAAGCCAAACGGAGAGAAAGTAAAAGAGGTTGTAGGTCATAAAACCCCAACTCAACCATCAAGCCAAGTAAAAAATAAGAGGTTTTTTGTAGAATGAAGTTAAAATATTCTTCATTATATTCAAATACATATGTATCAGGGCGGTACACCTCAATTGAGTCCGCACGATTGAGTCCTCACGATTGAGTCCGCACGATTGAGTCCCCACGATTGAGTCCCGGCACAATTGAGTCCCCACGATTGAGTCCGCACGATTGAGTCCCCGTTGTATATACCTCAATTGAGTCCCCGTGGATTTGATTTAAAAATTTTTTAAAAAATTCCAAATCCCCCATGCGTGATTATTTCAAAAATGTTGCGGGATATTTTGTAAAATCCCACAATTAAAAATTTTATCAAGATTATGTTGAAATAATAATCTTGAAATAATAATCCTGTTTGAAATAATAGATTATTATAATATTACAATTTTGTTCTTTAATTACTCTTTTTTCTTAAATCAAATCCACGGGGACTCAATTGAGGTATATACAACGGGGACTCAATCGTGCGGACTCAATCGTGGGGACTCAATTGTGCCGGGACTCAATCGTGGGGACTCAATCGTGCGGACTCAATCGTGAGGACTCAATCGTGCGGACTCAGTTGAACTGCTCCGGTATCAGGGATGTCACGGGTTACCCGAAACCCGATACCCGAAACCCGGCCTTATTTTCGACCCGATACCCGAAACCCGATCCGAGAAATTTTCTAAAACCCGACCCGAAACCCGACCCGAGAATTTTTATTTTTCAAAACCCGACCCGAAACCCGACCCGAGTTTTCTCAAAATTTTCGCCCGCGTCGCAGAAAAAAGGAAGATTTTTAGCTTAATGATCTTCCAAAATTCTGAAAATTTTCGCCTGCGGCGCTGAAAAAGGAAGAAATCTGGCTTCGGACCTTCAAGAATTCTCAAAATTTTCGCCTGCGGCGCTAAGAAGGGAAGATTTTTGGCTTTTTGGCCTTCCAAAATTCTCAAAATTTTGGCTTTTTTTCGACCCGAAACCCGATCCGAAGAAAATTTTGAAAACCCGATCCGAAACCCGACCCGACTTTTTGCTCAACCCGAAACCCGAAACCCGATCCGAGAAAAATTTTGGAAACCCGACCCGAAACCCGACCCGACATTTTTCTCAACCCGTGACATCCCTGATATGTATGTATGTACATATATTTTTTAAATTAGTTAAACTTTCTCCTTGAAGTGGGAAGAAAAAAATGGTGTTTTTACATAGGTCCGAGCACTTTAGGACCCGGTTCTTGATGCATATTTTTGCATCTTTCGACTTTTTCGTGCATATCGGGCATATTTTAGCAAATTTTGCATATTTTGCTACATATTTTGGGCTTTTTCGATGCAAATTTTGGCTGTCCCTATTAATAGCTTCAAATTTCTTTTTAAATATTTTAATTAAAACAACAAAATGGCCGAAGAATCTAATTGGATTTTGGTCGAAAAAGAAAAAAATGATTTTAAAAAACTTGAAACTAATTTCGAAAATGTTCAAAAAGAATTGGTTGAAGGGAAGGAAAAGACTGCTAAATTAGAAAATGAATTGAAGGAAATAGATAAAGTTTGGATGTTTTTAGAAATATTTTTTGAAAAATAATTTTAGAAAATTCAAAAAATAAATTCTGATCATAAAAATGAAATCGAAGAAATTAAACAAAATTTTCAAAAATTAATTGAAGAGAATATTAAACAATTAAAAGATGAAAACGATATTTGTTTAAAGCAAAAAGATGAGAAAATTAATTATTTAGAAGAAGAAATTAAAAAGGTAATTATAATTAAATTTTAAACGTCAATTGAAAAATTGTGAATTTTCGTGGCTTTTAAAGTTTGGGTAACCTAAATTTTGTGATCTAAAGCTATTAGCTTTTGAAAAAATTTTTTGTTAAATTTTTAAAAAAATAAAACAATTTTAATTTATGTAAAGTTTAAGATGATCAAATCTAACCAAGTACGGGGTATCATCCGACCCGGTTCGAGGAGCACTTTCGAATGATATACTATAATAAATTATATATCAAGCAAAGAAGCTCATAATGGACAGGGAAACGGGAAAAGGGGGATTGAGGAGATACAATTGAGGAGATAAATAAACGGCCTAAGATGAATCCGGATGGGAGAAATATTTTTACTGGTGTGGAAAAATATGAAAATTTATTTTGGACAAGAATACAATATTAAAATAATCTAAATAAAATTACATTTAGAGAATTTTTTTATTTAAATTTTTAATGAAAAAATTACCTAATTATAATTTAATTTATTTAATTAAGGCAAATGAAAAAATTGGAGATTTGATTAAATTGAATAATTTAAATTCTGTGGTTAGTTTACTAAATTGTATGGAATTTGTTAAAATTAAAAATAAATGGAGTTCAATTAACGGTAGATACAAATGCTGTAACAATAATTGTATAAATACAAATAAACCTGTTGGTAACTGTATTGAAAGGCATGGATTTGGAAATTTAATTGATGAAGAGAATATTAAATATATTATTAGATTGAAAGGTTAGGTTGGTAAAAATGTATATTTTTGGGTAAAATTCAAGTTCTTTCTCGCCTTTTCATTCCTTAATTTGTATAAAACGGTCAGACTTTCTTCCTAAATTTCACTCTATTTCCCTGTGGCATAAATCAGAGACATTAATAAGGGAAGGATTGATTCCTCCCAATGTCAAACTTGACAATATTTTCGCTTATTCTGGTCATTTATATTTAAAATCAATCCTTTCCTTTAGGGAACTAGAGCAGAATTGAGGAAGAAAGTCTGACCGTTGTGTACAAATTAAGCAAGGAAAAAGAAGGGGGAAACAAACTTGAATTTTACCAATTTTTGAACTTTAAAAAATTATTTTTCAGGTTATGATAATGATTTCATAGCATATGCCGAGAATACATTTAATAAACCCCAAAACAGCTTAAATTATTATTTTTATTATTTTGAAGTTAAATGTAATTTTGAAAGAAACATAAATAGAATTGTAGATAAAATGCATTTTGGTCTTGTAAATCAAAATGCAAAAAAAATATGTTGGCTATGTTGTAAAGGATGGGACAATTTTTAACGAGAATAATGAAAGATGCAAACTTTCAACATATTCTTTTAAAAATGATGACATTTTTGGGTGTGGATTAGTTTATCCTCCAACTAATAAATTAAATGAAGAATTTCCTTATATTTTCTTTACACAAAATGGAAAACAAATTGGTAAATAGGAGCTTATTCAGTTTGGGTACACACCCCCATTTATTCGCGAGATAACAATAAAGTTTGATTACTGCGGTTTTGATTCTTGAGAGCTGCGTCAAACATAATCTCGCGCGATGCGCATTATATGCACAACCACTTTGCCGACCTTACTTGTGTTACACTTTGACCATTTTGAGCTTGCGAATAGATGAGATGTGTATCCAAACTGCATAAGTTCCCATAAAAATATTTTTAAAAATTATTTTTAGGTAAAGTTTTATTTTTAAAAAACAATTCTGACTCATATCAACCATTTGTTGACTTGATATGTTGTTCTATCGAAGCAAATTTTGGAAATGATTTGGGGACTAAACCATTTAAATATGATTTTTCAGAACATTTAATTCTTTAATTATGTTATTTAAAATAATTGACCCTATCCCCAAAGAAGGGTCGAATCGTTTTTTTCATTACTTTTTATTACTTTATAAAAATGGTCAATTTTCCTTAAAGTTGATGTATGTTGATGTTTCCTTAAGGAAAAATAGTGAAAGAAATTAACTTTTTCATATTTTTTTGTATTATCATTTACACGGACAAACACGGACGAGGACGGACGAACACGGACGAGCACGGCCGAACACGGACGAACACGGACGAAGACGGCCGAACACGGACGAGCACGGCCGAACACGGACGAACACGGACGAACACGGACGAAGACGGCCGAACACGGACGAGCACGGCCGAACACGGACGAACACGGACGAAGACGGCCGAACACGGACGAACACGGACGAGCACGGCCGAACACGGACGAGCACGGACGAACACGGACGAACACGGACGAACACGGACGAAGACGGCCGAACACGGACGAGCACGGCCGAACACGGACGAAGACGGCCGAACACGGACGAACACGGACGAGCACGGCCGAACACGGACGAGCACGGACGAACACGGACGAACACGGACGAACACGGACGAACACGGACGAAGACGGACGAACACGGACGAACACGGCCGAACACGGACGAACACGGACGAGCACGGCCGAACACGGACGAGCACGGACGAGCACGGCCGAACACGGACGAGCACGGCCGAACACGGACGAACACGGACGAAGACGGCCGAACACGGACGAACACGGACGAAGACGGCCGAACACGGACGAACACGGACGAGCACGGCCGAACACGGACGAACACGGACGAAGACGGCCGAACAC